TAAAGACCAGAAAATATTTAAATAACTATAAATTACTTGCTCTAAAAATGTTTTTTTATTCATCTAGTAAAAAAATATGATTATGAATATAATGTATAATAAAAATAAATCTGAAATTTATGAAATTATCATACTTTTTTCCCTAAGGTTCCAAACACAAAGTGGCTGCTACTCAATTCAATTTTTGCCACTTCAAATTTGATTTTAGCATTACGATCGGCAGTCTATAGTTATAATGTCATTGGCAGGCACTAATCTAGTGGATGCCCCAAATTGTATTGATTCCTTGATCAATATATTAAAATATAAATGAATCGATAATTCTTTTGATATAATTAGAATTAAGGCTGTAAAACTTAGCAAAATTCAATCTCACTCCCCCAAAATCCCAGGGTATGTAAAACGCCTCTAATTTTTCAAGATTATTTAGTCGAGACCAAATTACAATTTGATTGGTGAAAAGATTTCAATTGGAGTTTAAAGGAATTATTATGACATTATTGATTACTTTGTAGATCGTTTTTTATATCGATTTATACAAGATGATTATAATCTTCTTCATGTTTTAATACATTGTCCCCCTTTGACCCTGATTATTTTATATCAGCTACTTTAGAACCATTATTAAGCTTAACGTTACATCTTGAAATGAAAATAGCTAAAGGATTAATGGCTGCAGAAATTAAAGAAACACATAATTTTAAAAATATCCTAAATATTATAGTAAATAAAAATATCGTCAAGCATTCAAAGAATTGTATAAATGCTACTCAGCAGCCATCATCATTGGGGTATCAACGCCTTCTTGTGAGGCGTTTTGCACACTAAATAGAGTTCTATCGAGCACTAGAGAGTCTTAGAAAGTTAAACGTAAGCAAATTATTTTTTTGATGGCTTATGAAAAATAAATTATACAAAATTTATCCTTTAATATTTATTTATGTTGAAATTAAAAAATAAAAATCGTTGTAATATATTATAGTATTATTTTTTTTTCATATTACATTAATAAATTTTTAAGAAAAATAACAAAAAATTTCTATATTTTAAAAAAATAGTGCCCTCCCCCCCCCCACCCCAAGTAAGCATCTGGCCCCATAGATGAAAAATCCTGATTATGGCATTGATTCGATCTCATAAAAAGTAATATCTAATTTTAGATATCTTGATTCAAAATTTTAATACGAATACATCAATATTCAATTTGTCTTAAATTTTTGGAGAATTAGTTTTAAATGAAAGATTAGTTTCAATGTAGATGAAAATAAACTAAATTTAATTATGGAATTATAAATTAATTTCGTATTTATTTAATACGATATGTGGCCCCAAGATTATATTAATTAATGAGTTACAAAAATGTTCACTCAGAAATATTATATGTTGATAAGAGTTAACAAGAATAAATAAAGAAAGTAGCTCTGGATATAGTTAATAAAATAAGAGCATTGTTTTGAATTTTGCTGAACAACATCAACGTATTTTATAATGTCACTTTTTTAATGAATGAAAATCATATTTTGTATCGATTGGTAAATTTAAAAGTTTATTTATGTTTTAAACTTTTTTTAACTAGCTTAAACCATGTGATTATTATAAAGATGAATATAAATATTGTAAAAGTAAAATCTATATTACCCAATACGTCATTTGAAAGTTAAAGGTTTTAAAGTTAGATTTCAACAAATTTATATAAATGGAAAATTTGATGATTGCAAGATATGGAAAAAAGATTATGAAAACTGTAAAAATTGGATAAATAATAAAGATAAAATGGCACTAGTAAATGCAGCAGTTAACTGATATTTTGTTGATCTTTTTTAGTTAAATGTTCTGGAAAGTGATAAAGAAAGATTAATAATAAGATCCAAAGGTATATTAAATAATGATGTATGGGAAAGAAGGGAAATAACACCTCCTGATAGTTGGGTTAAACCTCTGCCAAAATACTTTGCTCACAAATCAAATAGTTCTCATATACAACCCCAAAATGAAGATGATAGCAAAATTTAGATACCTATAATTGATTATATACTTAAGCGATATAAAATGTACCTTTATATTTGTTTAAAATTTAATATGATTTAATTAAACTATTTAAATTATCACAGTTTTTTTTATTCATGCATCTCCCCAAGGCTGTAAGTAAATATTAATTTTTTCATTAGCTGTTTTTTAGAATTGGATCTAATTGAGCTGTATAACAACACCACATGTTACAAATTATATCAAATTTTACATTATGAATTAATATTTCTAAAGATTATCATTTATATATTTGTGGGATGTTATTAAAATAAATTTGAATACTTTTATTATACAATATTAATTTTATAATTTAAAAATGTTATATAATCTTAATTTGTAAGGTCACATAATACTAAACATCATTTGCTAAGTTATCCTACTCTTTCACAAAGATTACCCCTTGTTGGCAGAGTGCATTAGAGTGAACAGTAACATTTAGATTAACATCAAATGAACAATACTCAATCAATAAATATTATTTGATTTCTAGATTTTAGGTATAGATATGAGATATAGTTGACCATAATTAGTTAAAGAGGCTATTTATGGATTGAGCTTTTTAAAAAATTACCTAATACTAGGAATTTGTAAGTCTTAATAGCAGTGTTTAATAGTTGCATGGATAAATTTTCTTTATATATAAATACTTTAGAATAATTAGCAGTATGCTTTTTTCAAAAAATTGATTAAATATTGAGCTTAACTAAACAAATTTTATATCAATGTACAGCCCAATTCCCTAAACCTAATATAAAATCAAAGCTCTATAATAGTTTTTGAACTAGGTAAGGTTATGTGAAATTTGTTTTTCTGGTCAGTCAAAACATGGTATGTATTAACTGACCATAATATAATATTTTAAATTTTTATTGTAAATATGAAATATTGCAATATGAAAAACTTGTAAAAGGATCTATGGTAATTTTTGTTTATTACACACGATTTTTTTTAAAAATGCTACACACAATTCCGACTTTATTTTATTTTATTAATATTCACACAAATTTAACTCTATAACCATGGAAACCAAGAATTAATCAATTATAAATTTTACCTTTTTTTTAGGCTTTTATACATTTTTTTCTATAAAATAATATTCATTTATTAATAATACATTTTTATTAAAATATATAAAAAAAATATATACTTTCTCTATTATAATGCTGATTCATTACACAAAATTCATTTCTATAGAATGACTCTACCAAATCAATATTAATTTTTCTTGAGTCTACAATCAATAAGAATCCTTATATCCATATCCATGACAGTAATATTTTTAATTATACCGAATTTAATTAATATTCAATTTATCATTAGACTTATATTGAATGACTATCTGGGTTAAACACCTCTTACGATCAACCAGACCCCAAGAAATAATTTTGATCTTGCATTTTTATCAAATATTTTTTATGCAAGTTTCTTTATTTCAATATGAATGTATTTTGGTTAGTCAAAATAATAAATTAATTTATATGAATGAGCTATTTTATATATTATGTAATTAATTAAATTATTATTTTTCGGAATGTTTGGGGAAGGCTTACTGTTCAAGTTAATTTTCTCCAAGGTTTCTTGTGGCGTTATGTTCCATCTCCCTAAATCTTACCATTTAATTCAATTTCCTAAATTAAATTTAAATATTATAAAAATTAAATAAATAATATCTTTGAAAACTAAACATTTATCATTATAAAAACATTTTATAAATTAAACAGATCACTTTTTTTTGGTTCAATAAGAACAGTCACCCTTAATCTGACTGGAGCTTAAATATTCTTGAGGATAGTGAGTTTGTATGCGGTAGCATTTGAATTACTGTATATTTCTATGAAAAAATTAAATAAATTGATCATGGGAAGATTTCAAATCTTCAACCTCTACTTGAATAAGCTTATACCGTGATCTTATATTATTTGCTTATTATTAATGAGATTAAATATATATCTCTTACTACATAATTCGAAATAAAAATAAATATGAAGCAATTTTTTATGGCCAATATATATTATGATATTAGTTTATATAAAATTTAAGGTTTCTTCACCCCTGGGGAGTCCTTAGTTATTCCCTAATGAACAGAATGTATGCTTGCCTTAAGGTTGTCATTAGAATTTTCAAATTACAGGCGACCAATGGATGATTTAAAAATTCTAGATATATTTTATTTTCTGCTCATTTATCCCAAATTTTTAGAATTGGCTCTTTGAAATTTTAATAGAGCTCAGCAGCTTCTACATGAGCGGGAGGGGTAGGAACAGTTTACATCCTATTTTTTTGAAGGGGGTAGGGGGTAGACTGCTTTAATGGGGGTAAGATAAATTTTTTGGAGGGCTATCTATTAAATTTTTAGATGAAATAGGACAAAATTTATTGCTGTAAAATTTACTACTTTTGTCATAGAATTATTATAATACAATTCATCGACAAAATCTATATATTGCAAACAATCATACACATTTTTTCCAAATAAAACTTTCTGCTATCCTTTTAAATATAATTTGAAAGGTTTAGTTATTTCAGCAAGCCCATTGCCATAATAATTAATTCATTGTAAATAATGGGGGTTTTAATTGAATTTATTATCTAAAAAATAAATATATTCACAAAATATCGATAGTTGGTAGTAGAGATAGATTAATTCAAGTTATCCTTTATAAATTCTCTGAAAAGAGTATCAAAAATATTAAAAGGTAAATAATAATCGGGAATTTTTTATGGGGGTAGGCAAAGATTTTTGAAGGGGGTTTGCATCCAGTGAAAATCCTGTCATGTAGACGCTGGGGCTCAGCCCCTTATAGAATTTCTTTCCTGTTGATACCACGGTTTACTTAAATTTACCTCATTAAAAATTTATAGACTCATTTTTTAGTAAAACTATTTCTAAATTTCTTAAAAATTTTTTAGAGTTCACCTTTTTATTCTGATAAGACAGTAGCATCTCTATAAATAAGTATTTATCATATGTTTTAACATTCATTCACTCATACTATTTGAGGAGAGATTATCGTTGAACATTGATCAATCAATATAAATACTTTTATGACCATATAGCTTAAATGCCTATTAACAAAAGCATATCTAATCTTATTCAAAATTCTAATAGGCCAACCAGTTAAAAATTATTTTTATTACTTTTTAGATATAGTCTGAATTATATAAATATTAAATATTTTATATTTAAGATTCTGACTTTAAGCAACAAAAGCTTCCCGCCTGGCAACCAATATTAACAGCTAACTCTGTGTTGCCATGGTTTTTTGTTATTGGCTGTCTATTCATTCCAATTGGGATAGGATTGTTGATAACTTCTCAAAGTGTTAATGAGTTTATAATAGAATATACACATTGTTTAGCGAATAATGGGCAAAAATGTAGTGAACTCATTAAAGACCTAACATCAAATTTTGCATACTGTCATTGCAAGATATCATTTTCTCTAGATAGGGATTTCAAGGTAAAATTATGTTAATTTGAATATATTCATTATTCAGTTGTTTAATTTCTTTCATTTTTATTGTCTAAACATATAGTTCAACCTTTTTTATTGTAAATTTCTTACTTAAACAAACAACCAATTATAACTCCAAAAAAAAGATATTTAATCCATTTTAAATTATCATTTAATTTAAGTTAAATGATCATTTCTCTTATTTATTTAGTTTATTTTATTTATCAATTAAACTGAAATAATCTAAATGACACCACAATGTTTTTGAATCACAAATAGGGTGTTCCATTATTAAATATTTGATGAGAGTCAATATTTACTGTTTTTTAAAGAAGATTAAACGAATGTTATTTATTTTTTGGATATTTCTGATTTTATATATAATTTATTTATTTTTTTCATAATTTTATAATATTAAATGAACAAAAATGCAATTTATTAAGCCACATTATTTAGAATATATATGGCAGGAAGGTTTGATCATCCTTTGACCATTGATTGGGTTATAAATCCCTAACTATATTCATTCTGCATGTCATACAATCTTTCTTTAGTGGAAATGTTTGGTTGTAAAGAAAGGCCTTAATTCTTATGCAACCAATATCATTATACCATGTTCACAACATTGAGATAGGAAAATGTGGTGCATTGTACCCCTAGTCCTTGGAAATCATTCAAGACCATTAAGGATGCCATTTAATAATGACACTACTAGATATAAGAGTCAGTATGACACCTTCTTGATCTAAATAATCGAAACCTTAAGCTTATTTTTCAAACTATATCTTTTTAGTTTTTAAAGAAAAAGAAATTAATATTTTGGCAAAAATACACTAAACTTTAAGCACATGTTGAAGCATTGGATACACTTTAAAAAGAGGAAAATTGCTATTATGGTGATTTAATCCAATATTATTTGTAACCAGGAAAATAATTATTAACGACCAAACACTACAGAGCTATGGTATTGCAGAATTATTTAAATTTCTAAATAAATGCTAACACATTTATTATATTATTTTTATGTAAAATAGACTGGAAAAAAGCGTTATACCATCAATTTATTTGAAGCTAGGCAAGCATTCCTTGCCATAATTTCTCATTCATTCCTTAAATTACGCCTGTGATTATTACCCTTTGATTTTAGAAATAATGACGATGACAACTGTAATATTCTTAGAAATAAGATCCCCTGAATATTTTTCTAAACCCAGTCACTGACTCACCACCTCAGCAAATGATTTACTTATATTTCCAGAGTTGGAGTTGGACTCCACAAAAAATTTAAATGAAGTCTCGAAATTGAAGTAATTTTATATTTTCATGATTCTATCACTTTAAGCTGTGCATATACATCCTTCGTTGACAATGAATAAAAATTTACCATATTCCGCTATCGCAGAAAGTTTTTTTTTCTTCTTTCGTTAAATTGGACCAAATAGAAGAAGATTAAATGACGATCAATTTGAAAAATTAGTTCTCTTACCAAAAGCTTATAATATTTGATTGTTATTGTATTAAGCTCGATATAAATAAATAAACCAGTGTGTATTTATTGTATATACTTCCTTTCATTATTTTAATGACCTGCAGGAAAATAAATGTTTAAATTTTTTTTTAATGTAACGAAAAGCTTTGGTAACTGTTATATGTATTGAATAACGTTATCGTAACCAGAGTAAGTTAACTGTTACATTTTGTACTTGAGTAACAATAACAGTTACATTTTTATATTAACATGCTTAACCCTGCTGGTATGCCAAAAAATCAGAACATATGAATTAAAATATTAAATGATTACACAATAATATTTATTTATTTTTTTCACAAAATAATTTTTAAAAAAAATTTTATGGGGTGGGTTTATTAACCAAATGAAAGTGACAAAAAATGGATGTTTTAATCATATGATTTGTGTACCACTTTTTTTTTGTAACCCTAAAACATTGACCACTTAACTGAAAGTATCAGATCTTCAAGTACTAAGAGCTACCCAAATAACAAAAAATCTAATCTAGCTGCAGTTTTCCAAACTGACTCGATCCCTCCTATCAATCTTTATCTTACTAACCGATTGAGGGAGTTTAAGATTCTTATGTCATTTTTTCCTACTTTGAAGGTTTATCTCTCAATAAGATTCATAACTAGCTAATAGTTAGATAACATTTAGGCCATATGGCTCCCAAGGGTCTAACTCTGTTTGTTTTTAGACATAAAATAAGTAATAGCGCTTAAATTGAAACTTTTTCTTTTTTTTGCGTTTTTACTAAATAATATATATTATAAAATGGTAACCTGGAAATCACTCAAAGCACTTCTTTTTTTTTCAAGGAATAACAACCTCTAAACGCATGTTCAATTTATAAAACTATAACTTACAGACAATTCTCTTGAAGTCTATCGCTTAAAGCAGAAGATTTATATCGAAATTCTTAATTGGAGCGGAGCTATAATTTTATATTTTTTTAAAAAAATATGTATATACATATATATTATTCTTAATTATTGTTCATCAATTTGATCAATAAAAAAAAATATAAGATAAGAATAATTTTTTTTTTAGTTTAATCCAAATGTAATAACGATATATTTTTTTTTCCTTCTGATTATCATGAACTTTCTGCTTGTAACATAATTATGCCATCTAAGGTACATTTATCTATCGATATATCTTCATACAAAAATTTGTATTATCTTTATATTATATATATAAAAAAATTTTTTTTTGTTGGCTTCGACGTGATCTAGTCAGACGTGTACATATATTACGCGCTCACTAATTTCTACCAAAATCACAGGCGTTACGTCAAATCGAAAGACGATTATCAATTGCAAGGCAAACTGGTCCCTGGCGGCCTCGGATCCAATTTCATCGATTGCGAACCCTTCGCTTACGTCAACGGCACCGTGCCAATCGCTCCTTGCGGTGCTATAGCTAACTCTCTCTTCAACGGTTATCACATTATTTTTTGTTAACAGCTCGATTTTAAAAGTCACTCCAATCAAAATCTTAAGGGCGGTAGTAGTGTTGTCCTTATTTTGGTCAAACTCTAACACCGCTTAGCCATTTAATTGAGGTTTAAGCCAATTTTAACTAATCAGAAAAGGGAGATTAATTTATTTGGATTGGATGGGACATCATATTTAAATGGCATGAGAAAGAGAGTAAAATATTTTCTAGAGGAGGCTTTATTGACGTAACCATGTTGACGTCATCTACACTCTCTACACCCATATATCGGCGACGTTCTTGAGTAAGGTTTAACATCAAATTACTTTAAAAAATATTTTCATTTAATCTTATTATTTTAAACTAATTTTCTATGAAAAAAATTATCAGATTCCTTCGAACTGTATTATCGCAAAAGCGCTGATTCTAGTATAAGGGTGGATTTATTGCGAACGGGTATTGCCTGGAGAACCGATATCAGGATCAAATATAAAAACCCGCCCGGCCCTTCATTGCAAGAAGGTTGGTTATTTAATGAAAATAAAAACATCGTTGCAACGTTAATTTTAACATTACACATTTGATTGTTCAGCTTTCAAGGGCACTACCAAACCTCCCAATTGGAAAAACCCGGTTTGGGAACTCGACCCGACGGATCCTGAGAACAACGGATTTAAAAATCAAGATTTGATGGTTTGGATGAGGACCTCCGCTTTTCCCACTTTCCGCAAATTGTTTCGGCGGGTAGATCATTCCAACGGGGATAATCACTTCAGGAGGTCGTTGCCCAAGGGAAACTATTCGGTCGTCATCAAATACGGTATATAGAGATATTTAATTATTTGGGCTCGCGAATAAGAAATGAGCAGCTATTAACTAGACTAATGAAACGATTCATTCATTTAATCCATTTAAATGAGCTGGTGACGCTATTTTTAGTGTTCCCATTATATAATATTAAAAGTATATGAAAACTTTAAATAAAAATACCGGAAAATGGCGTCACCATTAGATTTGCATATTTCAACGACTCTTCAAAAAAAATATGAATGAATCGTCAAACTAAGTAAGTATTATTATGTCATTTGGGTAACAGCTTCTTCTTCAAATCCGATGTTTTTAGGTTCGGTTTAGGTCAGGATAACCATTCAACCCGTTTCAGTTTAAGGTGGATCTAAAAGAAATCAGTTCGGGTTCAGGTTTAGAAAGCCATTATTTCAAATAAATGATAATTTTACAGGTGTTTAATTCACTATATATTTCAATATAGACATCGGTATAAGGAGACCAGGAAGAAAATATTTTTTTAATATTTTTTGTCCAAAAGTTCATTGCAAATCTAGCCAAATGGAGGATTTTTATAAAATATGCTATAAGAAACAATTTAACTATTATACTGCAATTAAATTATTACAGAAATTATTAACTTTTTACAGGTAATTATTAATGGAAGGGAATTTTTTTCCTATCTTGGTTGGTCTAGCCAAAATTTACACAAATTTATTTGTGGGGGACTATATTTAAGAATAATATTATAATATTTATATATATATATGATATTTAAGTATAGGCAATCTATTGTAGCCTTTGGAAAGATAAAAATTTTATTGCAGGGCAGTGCGTGTATTTCTTCGATATTTTCTTAATGTGGTGTGCATAGGGTAAATATTGATGTAGATAATGTAATGAGTATAATTATAATAATAGAAGTAAGTAATAATAGTGGCCTTTGCAATAATCGGCGACTTTTTAAAAGCACCATCTTCAACAAGTTATAGGGTAATGAACAAGCACGTTTAACGCATAATTTATTTGCATTAATATCGTTATATTCAATATGAATCGGGAATTATTTACATTTAGAACTGAAGGTTTAAAAAAAATCATATCTGTACAAAAAAATAAATTAGAATCAAATATGTCGAAAGCCCCGATTTCGTCCATTTAAAAAAAAAGAAGAAGGCTAAATTAAAATCATAGGCAAAAAGTATTAACCTAAGCTCCAGATTTGGTCTAAAGAGGGCAAAATGTTTTCTGCTAACTTTTATGCGAAATTTCGAGGCTCAGATAATTATTTTATTTATTTTTGCTAAAATCTTGATTTAGAGTCTCCTCATATACAATAATAATTACATTGAAACCAGGCCGAGCTAGTTTTTTGAAAATTTGATCACATAGAGTTGGTTAAAGATTTGGGATGGTTCTCTTGCCACGAGTATGAATGATAATGAATTGATGAAAAAGCTTGATAAAAATTTATAAAATGAGATAGGATAAATATGAAAGGAAGAATAAAAGATGCAATGAATAGCATTGGTGAGAAAAATTACGATGCGCAATGCAGGGTTTGGTTAAACCAAAAATTTTTTTAGCTTTTAAATAAACACCTTTTTCTTTTTGAATATTCAACGAAGGAAAAGAAAAAATTAAAAATGGAAGTAAATGAAATGCAAAACAGGTTAAAGTATCATTTCTGATTAAAAAATAATACTAACAGCTACTTATTTAAGTGCGGAAATAGGAAATGTGAGATCAAAGATTTTGAAAGCAGGGTAAATTTATAGGAAGGAGTGGGATAAAATAAATATAGAATGGAATATAATGAAATGGAAGAAGAAAACAAAAAAAGAGATTACGAAATGAAATAATATAAGGATTTTTATTTTTAAAGCATATCCCGTCACCATTTTTCACGGCACGAAAAGTATCATAATCTCCAACACATCATGGCTCGGCGGCAAAAACGCTTTCTTGGGTATAGCTTATATCGTCACGGGATCTTTCTGCCTTATCTTAGGCGCCGTTTTCATAGTCGTACACAAGAAATATGGAAACAAGTTTACGTTTTTTTTTCATTAAAAAAACGAATAACCGCGCTATCTGTTCTAAAGTTGTTTGTTGGAAATAGTGATGCGAAATCGCTTCATTTGAGCCGATTTCTTTCTCTTTCTTTTCTTGCTCTCTTTTCTTTCTTTCTAATCGACTTCAAATGGGGTCATTTAGCCACACTAGTTGTAAAGTTCGATCAAAAAAAAAATAGATTAGAGCTAATAGAAAATTAGAACTTAAAAAATACAAACAATTTTGCCTATGTAGGTGTTGTTGTTAAACGGCTCGTTTTGAGCCGATTTTTAAAAACGGCTAATTCAATATTTTAGCCAGAAAAATATTGCCCAAGCCTCAAGATTTCGATAATATAATGTATAGACCTTTGTTCCTTCTATGAGCAAAATCTTCAGGCTTGTGTAATATTTTTTTGGATGAAGTATTGAGTTAAGCCGTTTAACAACACTAGATGTAGGGATAAAATGTAAATCTTTTTTTTATGTAACGTAACCTAATACATATAAAGAGTGAAATATATATTTTTTTGTTTATTTAATATACGATTGAAAGGATGATAGCCCAAATCAAGGAATGTTCGACTGAATGAATTTTTTTTTAAATTGTGGATGAAATATATTCAAAATTAAACACGTATTATGAGGAATGGGGATTAAAGGTTAGAGAGATTTTGCGTTAGGGTTAAGATCCGCTAAAAATAAATAGATTAGTTTTTAAATAAAATCAAGTTATTTTGTTTTTATATTTAATAACCTATCAAATTGGACAGGTCATGCATTAAATAAATTTACGAAATAGAAATTTAAAGAAATCAGATGTTGTAACGGCAATTTTAATGAGTTGGAACCACAATCTATTTGAATATTGAATCCATAAATATAATTCTTAATTTAAATTTGCTCCTTTTTTTAAAACCATTTTTTCCTTCCCTAACAAAGAGTTATGATTAGTTAATATATTATAACCCAGGTTGGCTTTAAAAAAAAACCATCGCGTTTTGAAATCTTTATAAATCTGGCTTATAAAATTTTGTAGTTTAGTAAAGATTATTATTTTTTTTCCTTTTAGTTTTCACCTTTTCTGGTGGTATGCTCCTTCAATCTCTCTCCACTTTATTACTCATACTATCTATTTTTATATTTCTGATCGATTCCATTTGGATCTCCCATCGGAGTAATCGCTATCGAGGCCATGTGTCTTGGTCTCACACTGAAAGATTATATAGAAACAAAAATATCCTCTTTTTTTAAGAATTTGATTGAGATAAAGAGTACTAAAAATTTTACAGAGAAAATGACTCAATAGGAGTGCTTTTAAGCGGCTCGATTTTATTCTTAAAATCATTCTCAATATTTTATCTAGAAAAATATTACCTATACCTCGAGATTTTGCTAATAGATGCCCAAACCTTTCTGCCATCTATAAGCAAACTCTTCAGGCTTGCATAATATTTTTTTTCGGAATTAAAATATTGAATTAGCCGATTTTATAAATCGGTTCATCTACCTGTTTAACAACGCTACAAAAACCCTCAATAAATTGTTTTGGACTAAACTATCTAATTTGTTTGTTAAACCTAAAATTTTGATATACTAGCGTTCCATCATAATGAAAACCTAGACCGTTTCAAAAAAAAAATTAGGTCTTGAGTGTAGTTGGGCCACTTACTATATTTTTAGATGATAGCCGGCTAAACCATTTTCTGTTAAACAATCTTGATCAAATTTCTTAAAAATAATTTGAGGATATTTTAAAATAAATGTATTTATTTAACAAAATGTAGAATTTCATATTTAAAAAGGCGAATAACTCTTTTTTAGAGTTATCGTCCGCACAAATTGAGCCTTTACGTTTTGCCATGATTTTTTAATACAAAAAAAGCAACGCATCCCTTATTTAAATTGAGGTTGCGGTTACCTTTTAATTAATATCGTCGATTCAAGATTTTAAATAAGTTCTAAAAAAAAGGATTTGTCTTTGAAAATTATATTATCGTCTGCGTTCCTATTTTTTTAATATCTAAATATTCCTTTTTAAGATATAAGTAAGTTATTTATATTAAATTTTTATATAATATTTTAAAGCGAAGAATAAAAAAAAAGTAATGAAAAAGCACACCTATTTGCGTTTTTTAAATGGTTGCTAACCCCAAACGGTAATTTTACCAATTTGCACAAAGTCATTTGAAAAGCATTATTGGCGCTTGCAACGCAGCTTTTGAAACTAAATTTTTTCGCACTATTATTAAGCTTCCAAAACGCAACGTTTTTTTGTTAAAAGCCATCCCGGTTTGCGGAACCTTAAATATTTTTATAGGGTAAATTTAAAACTTAACAAAACATGGTACGAAAAAAAAAATACCTGACATGTGTCATTCTTAAACTTAAATGCGGAGTTTGAAAAAAAAGCTCATACTCATAAATATTTTGAAGATTTTTTTTTTCAAACTCTGCTTAAATGAGATATATGTATAGTAGTTAGAATAAATATCCTCCATTTTAATAATTGATATTTAGGATAGTGATCTGCATCGGGCCTAATTTTTCAAGCCCGGCCCGGCCAAAATTTATTAAATATAAAAATTAATTTTTTTAAAAAAATTATAATTACTCAAAATAAAAGATGTATGTCACATCATATGGAATCTAGTTTCTATAAATAAAATCAAATATTTTTATTTTGCATAAAAATTTCAACATCAAATTGATAAATTTAGATATATTTAAAAAAATTCCATGGCCCGACCTGACCCGAATTTTTAAAAAAATATTAAACCCGACCCAGCCCGAGCCCTATTTATTTTTAAAATATGCCCGGCCCGGGTAAAACCTTTGCAGATCTCTAATTTAGGACGTGCCACCTTTTACCCACACCATGTTAATTTATTTATTTTTATTATATCAAAAATCAATCAGATTAAAAATTCTCACGAAATCGGAAGTGCGCTTAACGGCCGAATCATGAAAAGACCTGAATTTCCCGCTTTAAAAATGTTTTCATTTCCTCTCTTCTTCCCTTTTTCTAAATTTTTATATTAAATTACATTGTCAAAGTATTCCCTTAAAAATATGCTTTCATTGGGGTAAACAGAAAAGGAGAAATTTAGAAAAATATATGCGCACAAAAATTTCTGAAGTTATTATAACGCGAACCCTAGATCTGTTCAAATTTTTATGCGTTTTTTACTTTTTTTTACTTTTCGTTAATTTTCTAAGATGTTTTATATGGAAATGTCCATCACGTCTTACGATAGAAAGCTAACTAAAAGTAAGCCTCTGGGCATAGCTTAAAATAAGTTATATTTACTAATTTTCTCACATTTGCGCGAGGATCAAAAGGTAAAAAAAAATATTGCCTCGGACTTAGTTTAAAAGTTGTATCTTTTTTAGGATATTCTCACATTTTGGGCGATGAATGACAAATATTTAGGACGCCCTATTTGTAATATTTTGTAAATTAGTCAATTTTTTTTTGATTCCAAAAAAAAAGAAATTATATTTATAAAAATTATTTATATAAACAAACCTTTAAATTCGAACGATAAATTCAAAATACAAAATAAATATCTTGTAATATTTTCTTTTATGATTTTAAAGAAAAAAAAAGGTTTATAAAAAATACAAATGGTTTAAATTTTTTGTTATGATAAATTTAAATATATTTTTTATTATTTTTAAAAATAAATTTTGTAATTTAATTTTAAAAGAGCATTTTTTTTTTGTTGTAATATTTATATAAAAAAATATTATAATTTATTTTATTTTTACTTCTTAAAATTATAATATTTATATTTACTTCTTAAAAATATAATATTTATTATTTAGGGAAGATATCATTTTTTTTCTCATAAATTGCTATGTAATTATATTATAAAGTATATAAAATATGATATTATTATATTACATTATATTGACAATAAAGTTTATTATATTAAATGATCTTATTGATTGATTGAAAGAATGAATAAATGAAAATGTAATCCAAGTTCACCTGCTAGTTGGAGTTGGAACACTGTAAATTTCATTTTTTTTTAGTTTATTATAAATTAATAGCCCGACAGCCAGTATTTCATAGCTATAAAAAGTAAATATATATGATATCTACAGAGATTTAAATATTTATAGTAATTTTGAGTTAATACCCATGACATATAATAATATCTAAACTGACGATTCATTCATAAAATGCATTTTTAAGCATGTATGAATGCACATCAGCTGGGGACGCCATTAATACCATCTTGAGTGCCCCTATGATAATTTGTGTTAGTACCAAACATTTAAAGTAAGTATATGTCATTGGTTAATACTCTTCTGTTCAACAAAATTTATATTTTAATTTGAAATATAATTATTTTAAAAAAAATAGTTAGAATTTTATAAAGTAAGCGAAATAATTCAACCAAAAAAAAATGGTTTAAGAAAATATTTCAATTTTTTTTTAATAAAGATTTATATTATGATTCTCGAGCTTAGAATTGGTTTAAAAAATATAGAAATTTATCGTCATTTATACTAGATTATGTTTAGATTTTTAAAAACGGCAAAATATTGTATCCATAAAAATTATGCAAGCCTGGAAATTTTTCTTGTAGAAGGTAGAAAGGTTTGAACATTTATTAATGAAATCTTGTGTCTTGCATAATATCTCTGGCTAAAATATTGAATAAGCCGTTTTCAAAAATTGAGCCGTTTAACAAGACTAAATAGCATTAAACTAGGGCGCTATAAAAATTAGTTAAATTAAAGAACACTGTGAGGTGAGTGGGCGTGATTTTTTGAAGATTAGATCCCCCCCCTCCCGGGAAAGAATAGTGGAAAAAAAGAGAAGATTAAAAATTATCCATTCTAAAAACTCAACTCCAATTTTGAAATTTCTAAATGCCAAAAATTAGATTTAAAAGTTATTTTTAAGTAGCGTGCTACCAGGCTACCACTAACGCTTTTTGACAAAATTAGGTGTTACGCTATAAGCTACCTTTTTAGTGTTTGCTATATTTTATGAAATATAAAGATGACCAGAAATGTAATATGTCTTACCCTAAATTCATAGTTGGATTGCGATTTAGCCATTTTCATTCATATTGCAAAGCGATTTTATTAATTCATAAAATGGTATCCATCGTCAAATTATTATTTTAAAATAATATCTTATTTAAATTTTGTAAAAACAGTAAATCATGGATGCAAATGGAAAATTTATAACTGTTGATGTAGGAAGTTCTGATAGCGAATCTGATGGAGTCTGCCAACTCCAAAATATGGAGAAATTCAATTACCTTCTCCAAAAAGTTTTCCAAATTCCAACCTAATTTTCCCATATTTTTATGTTGCTGATGATGCCCATCCTTTAAAGTCATGTTTTAGTATATATTGACTTAATATCATATTTATATAATATATAAGAGCAATTATTATAGACATTATTTATGGACAGTATTTTAATTATCAAGAATTTAAAATTTTATATAGTATTTTTATATTAAAATTTTACATATTATTTTAAGGTAACTTTACACCACAATAAGAGGCCTATAATTATAGAATATCTCATGCACGGATACAAGTGGAATGTGCATGAGGTATCTTTAGGGCTAAATGGATGATCTTTGATTGTCTTATAGATACTTAATTACTACTAACTGAAAATATAATACAAACTTGTACATTACTCCATAATACTATTATTAATAAGGAAAGATTTATTCCTATTAATCCCAAAAAAATCATCCCATGTAAATTTATTTTAGCAACAATCAATTAAATCAACAATATTGCAAAATTATGCTTATATTTAAACAAAATCCTAGAAATATATCATATATATAATTATGTTTTTTATAAATTTTCCTTTAATATAGTCTAAACTCATTATATGTTTAGGAATATATCATTATAAAATCTATGGCATATAATTATATTTAAAAAAACAAATAAGGTATCTATATTTATGAAATTATATTTTATTTCTAATAATATAAATATATATAAAATATCTATTTAAAATAATATAAATATATACAAAATAATTTTATTCAATTAAAACTTTTTATAATATCATATATTTGATTAGTTAAATCTTTTTTCTCCTTTTTTGTACATTCATCCAATTTTTCTCTCAACATAGTACATATGCCATATTCAGTTTTTTTATTTTGAAGCCTCTTTATGTTTAATATTCTTTCATCTTCTTCTAATTTTATAAGTGTTATTTTAAACTTTTTATAATAAATAGAAATTAATTACCAATGTCATTAAATTTTCTCTTAGGACATTTATATGAACCATGAGATTCAACAGAAGATAGAGACTCTTCAATATAAATAATATATATTATTAAAAGTTATTAATTACCAGTCTCAGTACCAAGCTCAATTAATGCAGGTTTTTTGGTAATATCATCCAATATATTCCCACTATCAATGAGATCGGCTAAATAATAAATATATTACCAATTCAAATGCTATATTTTACATTCATTTATCTCCCCTGTATTTTCATTAAACACCCCTGTTACATCTGGTGTATGAGGGTTTGATCTTCTCCTCTTCAAGATCATTTTGTAGAAAAATAATAATTTGAGAGTTGATACCATTTTGAATTAATAAAATCGCTTTGCATATGAATGTAAATCGCTGCGATCGATCCAGCTGATCGGTCGCTGCGATATCGCGATTAAATCGCAATCGCTCTTCACTATGAATTCATCAGGGTAAATAACTATTATGGTCAATTCAAGGAAAGTGGTAATGAATGAATGAAATTATAAATCAGATGACCTGTCAGATTTGACAAGTTAATGTTCAAATGGCGAATAAAAAAAATACAAATGTTGTGGATAGCAAAGCAGAACTCATTGAATTAGTCAAAAAAAGAAAGGAAATAGCTGTAAAATGAGATTATTTTTACGTAAATTTATCCATATCCTCATTTCCTTGCATGCTTAGGAAACTTGCAAATTTGGAAAGACAAATCTATGCATTTGAAGGTGGTTATCTCGAGGATACTTCACAATTTGGTAATATTGTCAGAGGATGGAACAAATATCTTTTTACCAACAAGTAACCTAAAAATTAATTGATATATGTATCAATATTGCTATCCAAAATATTATTTTATACTTATATCATTATTTATGTTCTTGTAGAATTATAATTAACTTCGAATTATATCTAAAAAATAGTCTGGAAGATCAATGCTTTTTTTTGTAATACAATATGGACCTCCCATAAAAAAATAATTTAGAATGCCTCTTATATGTTAATGATTTATACAATGATCATAAAGTACCAATTTATTTGACAAAATTCATACTCCAAGTTAAAATAATAAAAATATCATTACCCTTATTCCCTTTGTTCAATGAAACTTTCCATTATAAAAAAATTAAAAGGTGTATAATAATCTAAAAATTTCTATATTATTTCACAAATTTAAATTTTTTTTAATTTATAAACCTTGATATTGACAGAAATAAATATACTTTTATTCATACCTAGATAAATTTTTCTTTTTTTAATTATCAAAACAATTTTTAAACATAGTTAAATAATGCTATTGCCCCTATTTTCCCAAATATTTGAATAAAGTCCATTTTAAAAAACAAAATAACATTTTTTAGCTAGGTTTTCTAATTTTATATTTTTTTATGAACAGATTTGTTCAAGTGGGATAATCCCATGTTTAGGGCCTGCTAAAGATCTAAAAAAAATTTTAGACACAAGCCGTCACAAATCCTAGTGTTAAAAAATTGAGTCTAATATGTCATATGGCCAACCTTTTTTAAAAATAATTTAATAGATATATCTCTGTATATGGAACCCTTTGAAATTAATTACATTATTCCATAGATTCAATTTTTATCTCAATAAGGTGATCACCTGTTTTTTGTGATAATGAATTTGACAAGCTTTTCCTTTTAATATAAGAAAATCTTCATGAACTCTTCTGATTTTTATTTTTAGAATAAGAATATAATGATAATTAATTATGTCCTTTTATAAATTGATATTATCCATTTCTTTAATTTAAAATTTTTAGTCTTATTTTATATTTTTTGTAATATTAGATGTAAAATATTATCTGTGTACATTAATACTCAAAAAATTGTTTACTTTATCTAATGTATCTGATTTTCCCTTATCTGGATTTACCTCGAGATATGAAACTTAATTTTTTTTATTTCCGATCAATTATATTTAAATTTATATCTTATTATTATATATATATTTTTCAAATCAACCCCTTGACAATTTTCCAATAAAAAGGTTCTTTATTTTTTTAAACCTTATTTTTCTTTTAATTTTTCCTTCTAAATATTTGCAGTCTAAATATTTTTAAAAACAAAATTGGCAGAAAAGACAACTATAATCATTTATTTCGTTTTTTTTCTCTCTTTTTATATCTACTATAAAATTAAAATAATTAATCTAAAAAACATCAATTTTTCTATTAATCCTTTTTTAAATAATAATAATATATCGAAAGAATGATGGCACAAAATAATCAAAAAAATTAGTATTGTTAAACGGCTAACTCTATATTTTAGCCAGAAAAAATATTGCTTAAACTTCGATATTTCTATAATATATGTCTAGACCTTTATTTCTTCTATGAACAAAATCTTCACGCTTGCGTAATATTTTTCTGAATGAAATATTGAGTCAGCGGTTTTTAAAAATCGGCTCAAAACGAGCTGTTTAACAACACTAAAAAAATTATTTATCATCAAAAATGAATGACTTTACAACTTAACATAAAAAACGATACACATAACAATTATTTTTTTTAAGTTAGTTTGAATATTATTTTATATACAGAACCATGAAGATATTGGAAATAACTTTAAATATACATTATACTAATTCTTATATTGTATATACCTCCATTTAAGGGTATGAATATATAAATAATTTAAATACTATAAATTAATAATTATATTTCATTTAAATCAATTAATATTATGTTTAAATTGTTATTTATATTTAAAAAGAATAAATAATTAAAATATATAATTCAATAATATTCATCCGCAAGTTGGCCTTTATTGTTTTATTTTAATATAAAAATAAATTATAAATTTTTTTTACCATTTTTAATCAAGTACAGTGGCGTAGCTAGGAATTTTCCTTAGAGGGGGTCCATACATATAAAAGCTGGGGAGCTTCGCCCACCAGATTCCCTTTAACGGGTCTTCGGCCCTTTTGCCCGGCCTTCGGCTGGGTTTATCTTACAAATCATAACCATATCTTCGATAATATATAACAAATATATTTTTTTAAATGCATCAATAATGTTATTATAATTTAGTAGATTATTCTCAATGACTTTATAATAATACTATCCAGAATAATTTCAATAGTAATATAATATCCTTCGACAAACATCAAAACCAGAAAAATATAATAGATATAAAATCACTTTTAAGTCTTTTGAACGTATAATCTAAAAGAAATTTTTGCTCTGGGAGGGGTCCAAACCCGAAAACCACCCCCGTAGCTACGCCACTGATCAAGTAATATCTACCTATAAAAGTCAAATATAAATTAAGATTTTAATAAAACAGATAAATAAATGAATAAAGTTCAATGTAAAAAAAGGTAAGATGAATGAATGTTTTTTTATTGTTTCTGAACCATTTATATAAATATGATTCTAAGGAATGACATATTTTATCAATATGTATGAAGAATTTATTATAATACTTTTATATATATATCAGGATCAAATAATAATATAAAAATCGTAATTAAAGGTTCAATCGATACTTATATTTAACTTTTAATTATTAAATGTTATAGTAATAATTTTTTTTCTATCATCTTCCGGTTATTATGCTATAAAATATACAAGTTTCTTTAAGATTTAAGACACTAAACATACTTGAAAAAAAATTTTTTTTCTTAATATCTTTGGATAAAATATATATGCATAAAAAAATAGTGATTTTGCTCCCATAGTTCTATTAGCAATAACTTTTATAGAATTTTAAAATAGCTGTAAAATCTTAAATTAACAGTTAAAATAAGTTTATTTTTAAAATTTTCAATTAAAACTACATAAATTTTCATTTTATATGTTTTCTTTCACCTGAATATCTAACGATCTTATTTTGCCAATAATCGGAATCTCCGTAATCAAGAAATAACGTTTTCATAGAATCTTAATGTTATTTTTATTTTTTCCATCTTATGTTAATAAATCGAAGGAGACTATTTACCTCTAATGTTAAATTATTTACATCAACGAGATTCGATCCTAAGACTTAACGTTCTATAGGCAAACATTCTTTCCAACTCAGCCCCCCCCCCCTTCTATCTTATTTTGTAATACAATTCTTATATATGAAACTATATTAATGTAATTATATCAATGTTTATTTTTTTTATTGGAAGCTCCAGGCTTGGGGAAAAAAATTAAAATTTTAGCGGTTTACCAGGTTTGAGAAAAAAATTTTAAGATTATAATGGGTCGAACTGGGCTTGGAAAATATTTTTATAAATTATATTGGGCTGGGCTTGGGGAAATTTTTCAAATAATTATCAGCTTAGACGCTTGGGAATTTTTTTATTCGTAACTGGAGATCAGACATTGACCTAAATAATTTTTTTTGCAAGTCTGAGCTAAGTCTAATGAAAAAACTAAGGCCCATATTTTATTCCAGTTCTCAACTACTAAATTTATTATGATCTTTGGTTGGGGTTAGGGAAATTTTTTCAAAATTATTATGGCCTTGAAACTTGCTTAGGAATTTTTTCAATATTAAATATTAGGCATAGCCTATTAATATTTTAACAAATTATATTGATCAAAAAGCTTTAAATATATTTTGACCCAAAACATAGCATTTACACTTAGTTTTAATGAATTGGACCTGGCCTGAAAGCGGGGGTTATAAAGAATAAAAATTGAATATTATTTTCAAATAATGTATAACAACTATCATAAGAGTAAGGAGAAAATTCTCATTTCCCGTCATTTTTGACGGGCTCAGCAATGCTGACTGACGGAAGCTCTGGTAATCTTAGTTATATATTTTTCATTTTGCTCATCAAGAACAACGGGTCATTATACTTTAAATTAAGAATATCTTATGAGGTGTGATTTACAAATTTACCTCTTTTTCTCCCAAATTTTAATATTTTTATAAAATATAATAATAAAGTATATTTAGTACCATATACACAAACTAATTACCCCTCAACCCCGTCATTTTTGACGAGTTATATTGAATCAATGTTGCGATCTTTCCAATAAAACAAACCTTGGAAATTTTAATTTTTATTAAAAATATTGTTTTGTATAAGGAAGTATTTATTTGAATATAAAATTTTTAGGTTCTGAACGTATCATCTGCATTTTTAGTCTGGGAGGGTTTTAACACCCCAAATGGCTATGCCACTATTTAGGTCGATATCAGAGTTGTTAAACGCTATTTGTTAAAAAAAGTAGCGCGTTACCGCTATCGCTATTTGTCAAAAAAAGTAGCTCGCTAATAGCTACTTTTTATAAACAAATTTTTTATTTTTTGCTTATAATGTTATTGTATAGTAAATTTATAAAAATCAACATTTATAAATATTAAAATAAAGTTAGTTTTGATTATAAAAAAATTTATGTAATAAAAATAAATATTTATGGTAATTTGTTGCATTTTAATAATAAATCATTTCAATATTATCATCCCCAAGTCTAGAGCGACGATCAGAAAGTATAAGTTTTGCCTTATTAAATAATCTCTCGACACTAGCACTTGAGGGTAAGGGCGTATTTAATCTTATATACATATTTTTAATATAAGATAGATTATCAATATTTTTATTTGCAAGTTCTGGCATCTTATTATCATTTTGAGGGCTAATGCCACAGATCTTCTTTTTAAAGTTCTAGGGTGTTGTGTTTTAACTAGTTTATAATAGTTATTATGTCTTTGTTCTAGTGATATGTTTTTATATTACCATTTATATTTTTGTTTTCTTTGTTCAATTAGAAGTGATGTGTTTTTCTCATTATCATGTATATCTTTTTTTTTCTTTGTTCACGTATACCGAGGCTGTTTTGATTTCATCCTCAAAACTGTTTCTAGCCAGTTTTCGAGATGGGCCTGGATTATTAATATTCTTTTTATTATTATTTAATTTATCTATACAAAGACCTCGAAAAATCAAATTCGGGATCGAAATATTTTTATTATTTTCTTTTTCTTTTGTCCGATATCGGGAATAAAATTTTACTTTTGATTAACGATGAATTAAAATATTGTGAATATTTTTATTCTTTTTCTGTGCTGTTATGAAATTTACAAAAATAAATTGGTGTTAAATTCACGTCGTAGTCCAGGGGAGACCATGACTAAAACCATACCCAAACTCGGTCTTCAGGATCCCGTCATCGACCGTCCCGGACCCCCGATCACGGACAGTGTTTTCCCCTCCCTGCCGGTGGTACCCGGGGCTGTGAAACTTCAACAGGTCTAGCCAATGGCCTGTGATTCCCAAATAAGCTCAAAAATATTTAATCAGATCAATTTATAAATATAAATAAGTTTTTACCTTCTGTTATATGTTCAACTATCTCCCGTGGTACATATATACGATAACTCTACTATTAGAGCATCTTCCATCATTTTAAAGTTATCTGCTATTTTATTCATTAGTGTCTGGCGGCATAAAATTGTTGTACCAGGGGATAGAGTTTTAATTAACATGGTAAATGATGGATTATCAACTAAGGACATTGGCTGAACTGTATAATTTATAAAATCAACAATAACTTTATCAGCCAATTTCTGAGAAATATTGTCATTTGCATTATTAATTAATTTGGTTTGAATTGAATTAGTCTTTTTGGATGTAGAGTCACCTATACCAAAATTATTTAGATGTTTCTCGATTTCCTTAAAACTCATGAACAGTCTTATAAAATAAATATTATTAGAATGTAAAAATGACAATTTACCTTTAGGTGTTTCTTGAGGTTATACTGGATTGATTTGAGGAAATATTTTTTTTTACACTTTAAACAAACAAATTTGAAACCAGTTTTGGTTATATATTTATTTTAAAAAATTTTCAAATCTAGGGAATGGGAAATTTGTATTATAGCTATTAAGAACATTTTCTTCCCTGGTATCTTCCATTTCATTAATATCATTGTCTGAATCACTTTCAACGATTCGGATATCCATAGGCGATGACATTTTAAATAATTAACACGTGATTTAGGTTTATAATATAAATGAAAATATAAATTACAAATTGAAATTATATTTTAATTTCAAAATTAAATAATAAATCATAAAATTTATAATTAATTTATGATAATAATTTAAATTTTAATGTTTACACTTACCATCATTATATTTTTTAAAAGTAGCGAAGTAGCGGCTACTTAGCTACTTTCAAAAAAAGTAGCGCGCTAAAAAATTATATAATTACAAAAAAAGTAGCCTCTATTAGCTATAGCTAAAAGTTAGCGTGCTAAACAACTCTGGTCGATATCCGTTATCAAATTGAATAGGTGGGATGGATGATATTTTTTTCGGTTTCAATTTATTTAAGAATAAGGATAAATTATACAAACGAATCTAAGGATTCCATATGATCACGTGTGATTATTATGCAAGTTTTGGACATATAAATTTATTTTTTTTAAATTAATCAAAAAAAAATTAGGTCCGCATTCGGTAAAAATAAAGGATCCTCTTTCGATAAACCTATCCACAGAAAATTTAAAGAGAGTGAAAGGCTCTTTTCCCATTCATCTGTTACATCTCGAGCTGCCATATCCAATATTCCTCAAGATGTTGGTAAAACCTAAGAATTAATCTTTTTTTATAATCAGAGTTTAGGGATTTAGACAAATAAAAAGGTTCTAGTAGTGTTGTTAATTTGCTTGGTTGTAAAATTTACGAACCAATTTTGTGCTCAGGCCTGCTCGGAGCACAGACCCTTGGTTCAGACACGTAGTCGGACCCTTGGTTCAGACCCTTGGTCTGGCCCTAGGTTCAGACCCTTGGTCGGACCGTTGGTTCAGACCCTTGGTCGGGCCCTTGGTTCAGACCCGTGGTCGGATCCTTGGTTCAGACCCGTGGTCGGACCCTTGGTTCAGACCTGGGGTTGTTTTTGTTGTTAGATAATATAGCCCTGCAAGCAAGTTAGTTTCGGGATTAAAAAATTTATATCTGGTCGAGTTATGGTTTAATTTATAAAATCCAAAATTATAGTTTACTGAGAATTAACGGAAGAAGATACTATAAAATTTAATATAAAAATTAAAATGCTTTTTATTTTAATAAATTTAAATATTTTCAGACTCAGGTCAGGGCTAAAGAAAGGAGGAAGGTGCTAGTAGTGCCTAAAAATCAATTGGTATATATCAATAACTGAGATAGGGTTTTAGAATAAGTTACAATGGGCTCTGGCTAAATAAAAATTTAATTTGCATAGCCTCTACTTGGGTAGAGTAAACATGTTTTTTTAATCACAGTTAGTGTGACTTTGTAGCGAAATATACAAAAATGAAATTTTTATAAGGAAAACTAAGAAAAATTATAAACCTTATTTATTAATCTTATTCTAATTATAAATAAAAAAGCAATAATTTTTTTTTAACCCTTGAAAATGAAATATTATTATAATATCTTATAGCGTGTGTTATATAAATACAGATTGTAAAAAAATAATCACATAATGTAATAAAATAATAATATACAATATCTTTAAAAAAAATATTTATAAAAAGTTTTATTCTGTAAAAATACCCCTCGTTCTAGTTCTAAATATTAAAATTGTTATATTACCTTTAAATGACAAGCTTATTTTTTAATTCCCGGGCCTATAAAGATTGTGATCCGTTTGTGCTTAATTCTCCGCCAATCAAAAATTCTTCCAACATTTCCAACGCCTCCCTTAACAGTAGCAGCACTTCTTCGCTTCACAAAACGAATGATTTGGTCAAAAGCGAAAATGCATCATCTAACATCGCATTGGTAAATAAGAATCATAAATCTCCCGAAAGCGACATAAAATACTTGACTAAACCTATGGAAACCTTGTCCTCTACGAGCGCCATCTCGAATAATGTGAACAGCCCTTACACCTCGAAAAACTCCAAAAACGCTCCCAGTAGTGCCAACATATTCAACTCCTTAAATTCAAATGCGGATAAGCCGATCGTTCCAGCAAATTTGATAAAACCCGCCAGCATTCAACACAAAAGAGTCTATAAAAGAGCCAGATACAAATGATTCTAGTTTCTTTTAGCCATTAATTCTAGATATACTTGAATTGTTTTCAAGTTCCTCATTTATGTTTCGATAGACCCATCATGATATTGTTCTCAAATATATTTATTAAACATTGTAAATGTATATTCTTAATTTACAATGATATTCTAATAAACTTTTCTAGTGATATTATACGGCTCGATTTTTAATTAATGGCCATCCCAATTATTTTAACCAAAAAAATATTACAACAAGCTTTAGAGTTTCTGCTCATAGATAATAGAGTTTGGACATTACTAACGAAATCTCAATGTTCGCATTATATTATTTTGAATAAAATTAGCTAAATCGAGTAGCTTCACAACCCTATCTCATTCCTTATCCATATTAAACAAAAAAAAATTTTTTCATTATAATTGATACTTGTGAAATTTTTAATTTTGACAAAATTCATAAGTCCTAGGCATAGTTCTTATATTTTTTTTTGCAAAAATTTGTCGATATGGAAACTTTAAAAAATTTCCTCTTATTTTTACATAAATTTTGATGTTTCTTAAGACATAACGACTCCCTTTAATATCATGATTATATGTTTTTTGCACATGTTCTATTCTTTCATTTACCTTAACCTCTTTTAAAATAATTCAAAATCAGAGACCTGCAGAGGTACCATATGTGCGGCCCAGCCCGGAAAATTTTTTTCCAGCCCGGCCCAGCCCGGATTATTTTTTATAAAATATTTTCAGGCCTGGATTGGCCCGTGTAAATTTTTAAAAATTTAAATATTGCTTGCAAGTTTGTTCAAAATAAAAGGCTTTTTACGACTCAACATTAGAAATGAATAAGAATCATTTTTAATCTTCCAAAGCTAGATTTATAGTATTTTTCAAATCTGCACAAAGTTTGAGTGAGCCATCACTCTTAAAAACAGGTGTGAGAGGACTTGCCCAGCGAACATCTTGAACGGGTTCAATGATTTAATCATCGATCCATTTTTGCAATTCTTTTATACGGAACACACCTTGATGGTATCATTTTTGGTTTAAACTTTGAAAGTGTATTTAACGTCGCTACGAAATATCGGTGTTTTGTTGAATTTCAAGTTATATTGTTTTATTATATTTTGTATTGTATCATTATAATCTTCCTCAATTAGATTCACAAATTTGTTTAGTATATTCCTAAAAACGTTTATCGAGATCCTTCCTAAAAGTTTATTTCTTGTCACTTAGGGAGGGCAGTGTAAGCATATAAAATTGAGTTTTCTCTTCGGAACTAATACTTTTATCATTTTTGCATCATAGCCAGTGAGTTTTGTATCCGATTTTTAAGATTTTAAGTCCAATCTTTCTTGCAATATTAATCGGTAGTATCGTAAATCTTGATACTATTAGCATTACCGTTGGCATATCATTTAGCGTGACTATATTATCATCATGTTATAATCATCATCTATATTGCTTATATCCAATTAATAAATTATATTCCTTTTTCTCTATTTTATCATTGTTGTCTTTTATTTCTTCTAAACGGTATTAATTTTCTTCGAATATCGGGTTGGTTACTATGTTTTGATATCTATTGTTTTGTGATTGGTTATATTTATTGTTGTATCTTGGTATAAATCTTGAATCATTGTACTATCTATCATATTTGTAATTATTATCATAATTATTGTTATAATTGTCCCTGTTATTAAATCTTTAAAATTATTATATCCTCTATCGTTATTGTAAAACTTCTAATTGAAGGTGTTTGGATATCTTAAGTTGAAATTGTTTAGATATCTTGGGTGATAATTGTTTCCTTGATAACAACTATACTTCTAATAGTTGTTATATCTTGTCTATTAACGTAATTCGCTTGCATATTTGGTCCCCTATTGTAGTTATCCTACTTCACCATCTGTCGATCTGTATCCACCTTTTTGTTTTGCCCATCTTGTTTTATTGATGAAGTTTCATCTTCTATTTTTATGTTTTATATCTACTTCCTTCCTTCCCTATATTCAAAACTTCATTTATGGTAATATTGTATATGCGAGAAATTTTCTGACGAATACTCTTATTTATAAATGATATTTCACTTTATTTATCGCTCTGCTATAATCGATGAATTTACATTTATTATTTAATATACATATGCTACTTACCCAGTTGCTAAACGTTTCACCTTTATTTTGAATGGCAGCATTGAATTCCTTCAAATATGATTTTTCTGGGTGCAGTAACGAGCAAAATTGTAAGATTACTGAATTCTATTGGTGTGTGTTATATTTGAATGTTTATTATATTTTAAAAAGGTTATGCTATTTGAATTATATATTTCGTACATTTTATATTATCTTATGGAGGTCAATGTAATTGCATATTATTAGAAGTTAAATGACATAATTATAAAAGACTATATATAGGAAACAATTTTATAATAAAGAATCTATTGTTTTGACAATAAAAAAATGGCGACGAAATAAAAAAAAATCTAAGTCGCGCGGTTTTCGGTCTTCGGTCAAGTTTAATAATATATAGAATTATAATTTTTTTTCTGTTTATAAAAAAAATATATATATATATATATTTAGAAATTATGGATAAAATTATTCTCCAGGACTTTAAAAAGGAGGATTGTTCTATCGAGGACTACGTTGATTTTATCAAATATATACTAAATGTGAAAAATATTCCTAAAACTGACGCCACTTTAAAAAAATTATTTATAGCTTATGGAGGAATAAACATTATAACTGATATCAAAAAATTACTCTATCCTAGGAATATAGAGGAGGTAGGATGGATTGACATATATAAAATAGCAAAACAACTATATAAAGATGAAAGAACTATTTTGGCATCAAGAATTGATTTCATTAGATTAAGTCGCGGGGCTACTGATTCCGTAATGAGCTATTTGAAAAATATAAAGGAGTTAGCCCGAAGATGCGAATTTGAAGACAATGTAGAACTGAGAATTCGAGATCAATTAATCGCCGGACTAAAGATGTCACAACTGGATAAAGAACTACGATTAAGATATCCAGATACTAAAGACGAAGACCAACCGTTAAGCTTAAACAAAGTGGTAGAATTAGCTTTAGCGATGGAACGAGCCGACTTAGAAATAAATAATACTGCTAAAATGGTATATAAAATAAAAGAGCCGAATAAACATGATAATGATAATCGGATAAATCAACATAATAAAAATAATCGGCAGTATAATAATAATGATAAACGGCACTATCAAAATGATAATAAAGCATATGTAAAAAGAGAACTAGTGCCCGGGTATAATAACTACCATACAAATAATAATAGTAATTGGAGAAAACCATGCTATTTCTGTAATCGGTTTCACGCTATAAGAAATTGTCCCGCCTACGGAAAATTATGCAGCAAATGTAGGAAACCAAACCACTTTGCCGTATGTTGTAAAGCTAAAGAAAAGATTTACGGAACAAATTACAATAATAAAGAAGACGATTCAGATGTCTCAATAAGAAAAATATACAAATATGGGCAACATCCAACAATTGAGGTATTAATAAACAACCAGAAAATTAAAATGGAATATGATACTGGCTCGGCAGTAACCATTATTAATGAAATAATATGGAATAAAATCGGAAGGCCAAAACTTAGAAGAGCTAAAGCACCAACTACATATGGAAATAATAGAATAAAAATTATGGGTGAAGCTGATGTAAAAGTACAATTAAAAATGACATAAAATTGCTTCCACTATTGGTCACACAAACAAATGATGCAGCTCTATTTTGATTTCCATGGATTATCGAATTTGACTTATCGTTACCAAAAAATGTAAAAATCAATATGATCAACAATAGATATAAATACAATGATAATGGTAACGTAAATATTGACAAACTATATACAGAATTTGCTACGGTGTTTGATAATAAATTAGGATTAATAAAAAATGTCGAACCAGTAAAACTACAATTGGAAGAAAATACAAAACCAATTGCACTGCCAGCTAGAAGAGTACCGTTGCCTTTAAAAGTAGAAATTGAAAATGAACTGAAACGTTTGGAAGAAAATAATATAATCAAGAAAATAGATCCATCAACAACAAGAGTAACCTGGAGTACTCCAATGGTAGTGGTACGTAAAACTTCAGGCGAACTACGATTATGTGGAGATTTTAAAGTAACGTTAAATAAATTTCTACTAAAAGATTATCACATTCTACCAACGTTTGAAGAATTAATAGCAAAAATAGCGAATGGAAATAAATATACAACATTAGATCTAAAAGATGCATACCTACAAATGAGCATTGACGATGAATCACAAGAATTATTAACAATGGTAACACCAAATGGATATTACCGCTATTTACGATTACCTTTTGGTATAGCTACAGCACCAATAATATTTCAACGATATATGGACGATTTACTGGCTGATTGTAAAGATACAGCAGTTTATTTAGATGATGTTATAATCACAGGAAAAAATGATACTGAACATATTAAGAATATAAAACAAG